TCCTCCCAGCTTAGTGTCATCAGCAAAAAGTATTTTCCATCATACTTTTTTTTTCCCCGCTGATATCAAAACAGAGCTCTGGAATGGAACATTTTGAAATAGGAAACTAAGCCAATCACTGATCCACAGCAGAATGTATACAGTTCAAAAACCTTTGTCAGAACATGATGATTGACAGTCCAGTGCTTAACTTTTTTTCTCTGGTGAGAAATGTCACTGTGTGTCGAGCGTGGTGTTGGCTGTGGGAACTCCAGGGATTTTTTAAGAGTCAGATCATAGCCCCAGAGTTGTCTCCACTGTTTGTTACTAGTGGACCACAAATGCAAAATGAAAAACTGTGAATGTGTTTGGTAACCAAATGGAATGGCTCGTAGTATCCCATGTTCATTACACAGAAAGGTGCATTTATTGTATAATCCAAGTCAGCTGGTTGGATTTAATCCTTCAACTCGGGACTTGACAAAAAATATTACATAGTGCAAATAAAACCACTGTTACAGAGTTGTAACTGTTGTGGCAAGACAACAGAGGTTCTTAAGCTTTTTCTTTTTAATTGATATTTTTGCAATGATATGGACAAACCCTTAGTCTGGATCATGCATCTGTTGTTCAAGATGTTCCTTGAACTATGGAGGTGAGGAAGGGCAATATCCTATACCCTGTTCCTTTTTTCTTAAGGAATGCCACAATGCCAGAACTTTCCCTAATTACAGGCTGTAGAAGAGAAAACATTGTGTGGCTGTTCCAAGCTCCTTATATGCTGGTTGGCCAGACAGCAAGCTAAACAAAACAGGTAATGGTGGAGTTTATAATAAAGGCCTTTTCTCAGTAGGAGCACTAATTATAGACTGTGTCCTCCACGCAGCCAGTGTGGGTCTAATCTGTGAAATTTGGTATCTTTAAGACTTCAACCTTTCTGTCAACTTTATTTTTAAAAATAGGATTAGAAGTGCTGGGGGACAGAGACTGGAGGATTCTGTAATCCTGGCCGCCTGCTAAAAAGGACAGCCTTTGCCCTAGATAGTTCCTGTGCTTATAAATGACTCCTGTGAGGCAATCTAGTGAGCAAATTCGAGCATGGGGACATTTAGAACATTTGTCTGGGATTACATAAAAGCCATGTGAGAAAGCTCCAGTGAAACCTAGGAACTCCAGCCTAAACTTAGGGCTGAAAATGAAAAAATAACCAAACTTTCAGCTTTTTTATTTAGAAGAGTGTTGGCAATGCATAAGTTAGGATGTGTACTCTGTCTATTTTAAATCCAGTGGTTACCTGGAGACTCTTGAATAGATTCCTTAAACCGTGCACAAAGGGAAGCTTTTGATCCAAAAGCTGGACTCCAAAACTTTAGTATAGAAAGTGTATAAGGATGAGACATCATTTACTTCCTAACTACACTTGTCTAAAAAAAAAAAAAAAAAAAGTAGTTCTGTTCTTTCTGCAAAGGGAAACAGCTTACAGTTTTGGCTGACCCGATTCCACCCCCGGAAGAATAAAAAATGTGTCTAGCCAAACCGACGTTAACCATCAGAAAGTTGTAACTGTCCAGGAGAAGAAAATAGGGTCTAACAGGGAAGAATGTGCCATTCCCTTTGACTTCAGTGAATGGTTCTGGACACGTGATTAATGTCTGTCCATCTTTATTCCCTTATAATCAGGGTAGGCCTAAAAATATTCAGACCTTATTAAAGGGTTATTCCAATTTACAGATGAAGAAGGGTGTGAGGAGAAAGCAATAGTGTCTGTGGTCCTTACACAAAGGAATAATAAAGAGATTTAATAAGCTAAACATTCAATATAATTACAAGAAGTATTTAATAAATAAACATAGAGACAAAATATGCTTCATCATTAACGGAAAATCCTTTTTATGAGCTGTTCACAGTCATCTTTGCAAATTTAAATTCAAAGTTAATTTCTAGATGCTTATAGAATTAACCAAGAAATCCATTTGCCCTTTGATACACAGCTGCAATAACACGTCAAGCATGAAGCCCAGCTAATTCTCCATCAGTTCCAGGAGCTATAGATGTTGCCCAAAAAGATATTTGGTACAGCCTCAGTGTGCGTTGTGGCTCTGGGAAGACACAGTCTGGAAGCTGCCTGTTCAGCTTCCCCAAGGGTTATTAGTAGGTCAGAGTAATTTCAAGCTGATGGTGGTTTGCTGCCCTGCATATATAATGAGGGGCAGCCTAGCTAAGCTCCTAGTAGATACATTAGAAGAAAGAATAGTGAGAAGCCTCTTTCCTGGCAAGGTACCAGAAAGAGGTCAGCCACAATGGTGAGATGGATAACTCGCCTTGCTGTTGCTTGCTTGTGCAGTGCAGCAGGAGTCATAGCTTCTGAGGCCAATCAGTCCAGCCCCTCTTCATAGCAGCAGCCTCACTTCAGGAGATGTCATGGCCTTCCACTTGGGAAGGCAGAGGCAGGGTTCCTTGTGTTCTGTACATCACTGTGTGCCTTTGCAGTCATTGCGCACACATTCATGGGGATAGTAAAACACAGCAAAATTCCAGATTGCTGTCAGCTAAGCTATCTGGAGACATGTTGAAAGCAGGACCCTGGTAGACTTGTACTACTTTTTAACATCTAATACCTTTCCCAAGCACAGATACACAAGGTAATATTTCAAGATGTAGTTACTTGCCTTACATGTGCATAGTCAAAACCCCCAGTAAAGCACTTACAGGAATCATTCGACTCAGTTCTATGGCACAGCTGTTTCTGAAGCAGAGCATGGTTATTTAATTGTGCACAGACACATGCACAGCAGTTTAGGACAGAAGGTGCCCAAGAATACCTCTGCCAAGTCCTTGTTCAGCCCACACCATGCATACTATGCAATGTACTACCAAACCCATATGTTAGTCACTTGATGCACTGGGGTATGGGATAAAACAGAAAGAACAGTTTGGCTCAAAACCACCATCCAAGTGATTAAATCGTGCCACAAGAGGAGCACTCGTGCAACACTGCAGAATTCATACAAGGGAACATATGAACCCCATGTGAGGCTGACAGGTTCCATATTATAGGGCTAAGTGAATTGTCCTCATGACAGTTTTCTGATGAGGCTGAATTTGAGGTTTGTAGTCCACTTTTGTATTTTGACTTGTGTTACTCTCAATCTTGAAATAGCCTTAGGCTGAGATCTTTCTGAAATCATCTGCTATAAAACCTTTCTTTTCTTCAAAGTCTTGATACGTGGAGTTCTTTGCTTGATGCCTACAGACCTGCCTTGGGGTGGTCAGGCTGTTAGCAGGTAAAGTGTGTATGGAGCCAGCCTGTGAGAGAGCTGCTGTGGCTTTAGGTGTATAGGGGCTTCTGCTCTGCACACAGGAATGTGGAAAAAATGAAAAGGCTGTTCAGGCTTCCACTGCAAATGGAGTAATCCCAGGAGTCAAGCATTCAATGTATGTGTGAGACGCCTTTTCTGTAAAATAAAGCACATAAAGAATGCCAGAGCAGGCAGTTTCACAGTTAACCCAGTGGCCTGCTTGGCCCCATCACTGGATTCAGTATAAATCTCAGTGTGATGTGCTTTGTGGGACTTTCTGTGTTTCCTTCTGTATTCTCTGGAGCCTCTCTTACCACATGCTTTTCACTCTATGTGAGCAGAATTCATAGGGATGGGGAGGGTGGAGTGGTCCTGCAAAGTGACAGTTCCCAAATGTTCAGCCACCCACCTCCCTTGTAGACTGGGACCTTATGGGCCCTGCTACACAGAGGAAGACTGATCTAGAACTGCTTCTCCCATACCATGACAAATTCTTTCTGTAGTCCTGAGGAAGGGCAAATGAGTGCTACTTTTCTCTCCACCATGCGTTTTGGTAGGTGGAATCACTCTGTGGCGACAGCACTTAATGCATTTGGTTGTACAGACTGGGCATTTCCAGACAGTTTTTGCTGTCTGCAAACTTTTCTTTTACTGCAAACTTTATAAATGATGCAGCTGCTCACAGCTTCACAACCCATGTTATAGACAAATTTCTTATGAAGCAAGGACTGAGTCACTCTGTTTTGGAAGACACAGCCTACCTGCCTGCAGATGTGAGCTCAACTATAGATGCAATATTGTTGGAAAGTCTTCTTGGACTTAAATTTGTTTTCTTCTAATGTTTTTCTTTTCTCCATAGCGGTGCGCAAAGGGTACAGGATCCAGACGGACAAGGAAAGGGACTCTATGAAGGTGCTGTACTATGTTGAGAAAGAACTGGCCCAGTTTGACCCAGCTAGAAGGATGCGGGAACGATGTGAGGAACAAGCATGGTTTGATTCTTCTGTTTGATTGGGATTTTTTTCTTCTTCCTGTTGGCCTGAAAAAGACTGAAAATTCATAGTAACAAGTTAACTGATTTTGCCTTAAATCCAGCCTCTAGCATATGATGTCCAGGTTATGATACTTGATGCAGATAAAGTCTAGATTTTAGGTATCTACAGTTATGTTCTGATTTTAAAGATCCTCTGCTCACCATTCTTAATTAGAGCAAACAAGGTAAGGGATACTCATGCTCATAAAAATTGTCCACTTGGATAGTGAAACTTCTGGATCAGCAGCATCTGAAAAGTTAAGTCCATACTCATGCCTTGTAGAGCCTGTGGTGTGATAATAGTTGGGATATTGTCTTCACAATTTCTATGTCTTATAGTGTGGTGGCTGTAAATTCCCAGTGTGGCAAAATAGGAGAGGGATGATTTTACTGAAAGCTGGACTTCATTTCTCTGTGGGCAGTAATGAGCACATGTGGTTTGAAAGATACAAAAAGGTAGTTTGGAGTGGCAGTGGCCTTGCAGGGACTACAAGAAAGATACAAGAAACGAGGGAATCATCGGATTTTGTGATAGTGGTCCACATAAGATCAGAGGTGGTACACACATCAGTATTGATGCCTTGGCAGTCAGAGAACTACAGGTGAAGGGAAGGAGGGCGGTGAACAGGGACATGATGCAAACTCGGAATGGAGCTTCTGTGTGAAACTCCTCACTGTCTTCCTACAGCCTCTTGCAAGCTTTATTTCCCAAAATAAAGGTTGAGGCTGCACTTGATGAGTGTCAGAATACAAGCCCAGGTGAGGATCTTTCCACATGAGGAGGCAGAGGTGCAGTGGCAGGGCAGCGTGTACATGAGGAGGGCTTGCTGTGCTGCTCGTTGTCCTCTAGCTGTTCTGTGTGGAGGACAGCAGCAGGCTGTGTCTCAGTTCCTCTGGGCAGCATCTGACTCATGCAGAGCTAACCAATGTCAGGCACTGGTAGAGGCTCATTTAAAGCAGATGCGTGAGATCCTGCAAATCAGTGAAGGTAAGGGCTCTAGGGAATGACACTACATCAAAGCTCTGTACAGATTAGGCATAACTAACAAATTATATATACTTCTAAAACAGTCGTTGCTGAACACACTGTCTTCTCCACCCACAAGATTTACTATAAAAAGACCTCTCCACATTGGTATGTCAGGCCTCCAGATGTCAGTGTGCTTGATGGAGTAGAGACTGACAGTGATTCAGATGGTGTCTTCTTTCTTAATCTTTTTTTGAGGGGGTTGTTTTTGTTTTACTGGGCAAGTTAGGCCAAATCCAGAGCCAGCCTGTCTCACACCAGGAAAGAGGGAGTTGGCACAGCTGCTGTGATGGATGTTCCACCAAGCTCCGTGCACACCTCGTGGGGGTGGAGACCTCACATATGTTACTGAAACAGGGCTGTGGGGGCGTTTCTGTATGAAGGCTGAACTCAGTTATGTGGAACACAGGTGTCTGATGCCATTTGTGGTATCAGAAATTAGGATATCCCGCCTGGCTGCCAGGTACCATTTCAGAAGACCTGTAGGTCTAACAGCATCTCTATGTCCAAACTGAGCCCCAGGAGTCTTGGGCAGGATCGGTGAAGGCTTTGGAGAAGGCCCTTAGATTCCATTTTGATTTTTTTCTTACAGAGGGAAGCTGAGCTTCTTTCTGAAAAAGCTGTGGCCGGGCTCACCGCAGCCTGCCTGTCCTCCCCTCTCACCCATGCTGTCAGGTGCTGCCTGTCTCATTTCTTCTCTGCACCCTCCCCTGCAGATAACAACACCATCTCTGAACTCAGCTCTTTACACGAGGACGACGTGAGCTTCCGGCAGCCCTACCGCCAGGTGCGGAGGAAGCCTCTGCCTCCCGCAGGGGAGCTGGATGGTGACGCTGAGTACTGGGCAGGAGTGCTGGGCGGGGGCAGCACGGCGAGGTCACAGGCTGTCTCCGACTACAGGGACGAGCGGGACAGCTTCCGGCACAGGTGAGGAGTGCTATACCTGCAAAGGAGTAAAGAAAGGAGATGGGACCGATGGACTGCTGGGTCTTCCTCATTTTCTGCTGCTCTGGTTCTGCTTAGCAGGACAGAGAGGTTAGAAAGAAACAGGAAATCTGGAGATGTCATTAGATGAGGTTGGAATTCATCTCGTTTCCACAAGCCTGCTGAAGCCTGCACAGCTGGCCAAAGCTAGATACCAGCCCCATTCTAGGTGGGATGTACAAGTGAGATCAGTAGTAAACCAGGCCACCCTTCCTAAGGTGCTCCCTTGAGATTTGTATCTGATCCCTCCAGCAATTCCCAGTGGTGGTGGCGGTGGTGCACCTTATTGGGAGTCACATCCTGGTGCTTTGGTGCAGTGAGACCTGTACTCCAGGCCTAAAGGACTGGCATTCCAGTGCCTTGAAGGGAGGTACCACGTCTTTCCCTCAGGTACCAGCAGGCAAATCTCCTGAAAATAATGGCAGGGATTTCCTTCCTTCACTACTGGGCTATTGTGTCAGCTCACTCTCTTTAGACCCACTTCAAAATTGCCCTGCTGTGAGCTTCTGTAGCTGGATTCTTGGGGTTTTCCCAGCAGGACGTACACCTACAAGTTTTGGGGCCAAGGAGAATCAAGTCTTGCTTCAGTGAGAGTGCAAGAGGCACTCTCATGAAAAAACTGGCTGCATCGCTTGGACAGGTGTAAACACTGCTGGGAAAAACACTGGCTGGATGGCTGGGCCCAGAGAGTGGTGAATGGAGTTAAATCCAACTGGCAGCCAGACACAAGTGGTGTTCTCTGGGGTTCACTATGAGGCTGCATTCTGTTTAACATCTTTATCAATGATCTTTATGAGAAGATAGAAGTGCACCTTCAGTAGGTTTGCAGATGACACCAAGTTGGATGGAAGTTTTGATCTGCCTGAGGGTAGGAAGGCTCTACAGAGGGACCTGGACAGGCTGGATCGATGGGCTAAGGCCAATGGTATGAGGTTCAACAAGGGCAAGTGCCAGGTGCTGCACTTGGGCCCCAGGTAACTCTGCATGGGAAGAGTGTCTGGAAAGCTGCTTGGCAGAGAGGAGCCTGGGGGTGCTGATCGACAACTGGCTAAATAAGAACCAGCAGTGTGCCCAGGTGGCCAAGAAGGCCAACGGCATCCTGGCTTGTGTCAGAAATGTGTGTCCAGCAGGAGTAGGGAAGTGATCCGTCCCCCTGTACTCAGCACTGGTGAGGCCAGACCTCAAGTACTGCATTCAGTTTTGAGTCACTCACTAGAAGAAAGACATTTTGGTGCTGGAGTGGGTCCAGAGAAGGGCAGTGAAGCTGGTGACAGGTCTGGAGCACAAGTCTTATGAGGAGCAATTGAGGGAACTGGGGCTATTTAGTGTTAAGAAAAGGAGGCTCAGGGGAGATGTTCTTGCTCTCCACAACTACCTGAAGGGAGGTTGTAAAGAGGTGAGAGAGGTGAGTGCTGGTCTCTTCTGCCAAGTAACAAGCGACAGGACAAGAGGAAATGGCCTTAAGTTGCACTAGGGAAGGCTGAGGTTGGATATTGGGAAAAGTTTCTTCACTGACGAGGTTATCAAGTACTGGAACAGACTACCCAGGGAAGTGGCTGAATCACCACCCCTGGACATGTGTAGAAGCCTTGCAGATACAGTGCTTAGGGACATGGTTTAGCAGTGGACTTGGTAGAGAGAGGTTAGTGGTTGGACTTGATGGTCTTAAACATTTTTTCCAACCTTAACAATTCTGTGATTCTAAGTCCAGCCCTGCATGCTAGAGAACAAGGGGGGGTGTACTCTGGGGAAACATGAGACACGTAGAGTCCGAGCTCTCTGCACCAAGCTACCTTGAAAGTCAGCAGAGGGAAGCAGGGATTTAGAGGATGTAGTACAACTCCTCCTACAGAAGATGGTGAAAACAGGTTGAGTGATTCGTGCCCCAGGAGCGCACATTTCCCTCCGTTGTCTGTGAAGGCAGCCGAGGGGATGAGTGCAGCTGAATCCTGCCCTCTAACACTACGTCTTCCCTCCTCCAGCCAGCAGAGGTCCAAGTCCGAGATGTTGTCCCGTAAGAGTTTCTCTGTGGGGGTGCCGGCCGTCTCTATGGATGAGCTGGCAGCCTTTGCCGAGTCCTACAGCCAGCGGGCCCGGCGGGCCGACAGCCAGGAAACTCGGCGTTTTGAGCGGTCCGAGTCGCACGGCGGTCGCAGCGGGGGGCTGCCCCACCAGGATAGCTCCATGGAGGAGTACTACACCAAGCGTGGCAGAGGGAACCGGGAGCCGCTGACGGACTCGGACCGGGGCTGGTCATACAGCCCACCCCGGAGACGGGCCCACGAGGAGAAGCACCTGCCCAGGCTGGTGAACCGGACGCCTGGAGGCAGCCAGAAGTACGATCACTCCTACCTCAGCAGTGTCCTGGAGAGGAAATCCCGGAGCTACGATGAGAGTGGTGACCGCAGTGAAACCCCCTCAAAGCTGAGCTCACAGCCCAGCCAGAGAGGAGGGGGAACGTATTATGCCTGGTCACCACCCTCGACCTACAGAGCCGAGAAGTCGCAGCAGCAGTCGCAGCCGCCATCACCGCCTCAGCAGGAGGAGGGGGAGGACACCCTGCCCCCGTACAGCGAGAGGGAGCTGAGCCGAGGCCCTTCGTACAGGGCCAGGGAGCAGGCCTACCTCAGCGCCTCTGACAAGAAGAGGAAGAAGGACCCCAAGAAAACGGTGAGGCTGTGTCTGGTGCTCCTGATCCAAATAGGCTGAGCAAGGAGCCACTGGGCAGGGGTTACCAACCAGGGTTTGTGAGCAAGGGGGCTCTCCAGTAGGGTAGAGCCTTGAGTCTGAGTGTGGGGAACCCCAGGTGAGAGGGGCGTCACTGCGGGTGTAGGAAGCCAGAAGGGGAGGTAGCTCCTACACGGGACTTCATGATGGATGGGAAAGACAGGCGTGCTTGGGACTGGGGAGGTGAGAGAAGTTTTTGGCATCTGTGGCCTGGTGATCTGAGACAGTGGGAGTTTATCTAGGATTTAGGAGGATCATGGTAGGGAGGGGAATTTACCCAGGGCTTACAGAAATTACAGGGCATTACTTTGGCCTTGATGCTTGTTAAGGAAGGGTTGAGAGGCTCTGTTCTTCTGGACTGGGACAGGACTAGTAGCAAAGTATGGTGTAAAAGACCTTGTCTATCTGAAAAGGGTGAGATGACAAACTTCTGTGGGTGCATGCCCGTGGGCTTGTGTAGGGTCCATGCATGCCAAAAGCATTCCTCACACAGGATGCCAGCAAGTGCAGAGCATCCTGCTACAGTCCAGGTTAGTGAGGACTGATGAGTTCATGGCTGTTGGAGAAGGGGAGTTGGCTGAAGTCTGCTCCATGAGGGAGACCGTGTTGCTAGAGCAGCTTGACTGTTAGGTGTAACCGTAAGTGGCTTGTGTGAGAGAGAAAAGGGGTATAAGTGGACAAAGCTGTTGCTGTTTGCTTGTGTCTGTGTCAAAGCTATGTCTCTCTGTCCATTGCACAGGTGCTTTCCTGTTGACATTTCTCTTATCTTTTTAACTCTCAGAATGATTGCCCTACAAGGATGTCCCTTGTGGTTTGAAGCTGTGGACATGCTGTGTTGATGGGCTGGATACCATGAGAAGACTGCAGTGGAAAAGATAGAGAACAACAAGCAAGACAAGCCTCTGCAGCCATCAGCCATGGACTGTTTCAGTTGTTCAATCAGGGGAGTGGAGGCTTACGTAAGAGACCGACTCCCATGAACAGCACTCAATCTCAGAGGCTCTGGGAGTCTGCCAGGAGAATGAGGCCAGGACTTTCTTTGGCACCCTGTTCTCCAGTGCCCTCCATTCTTGAGCTGCAAAGCAGACACGTCCTTACTGTCCCTGCAGCCCTGAGCTGCAAGCGAGGCTGCCTTTGTGCCTCCTGCCCTGTCTGCTGTGCATAGAGAGGCATACCTCTTTCTCTCTCTGTCTCCTCAGTTGTCTGGATCAAATTGTCTCCATACTTAGAGCCTTTTCTGCGTCAACCCTGTGTCAGGAGGAAGCCTTGTTCTTACAGCTGCAGAATGCCTCCAGCTGATGAGGCCCTAAATTGTGGAAGAAGACCTACATCCTTTCAGACATCATAGAAGATGACTGAGGAGGTGTTACTTTGACAAGGGCTGAACAGAGAGAGAGAGGGACAGTTACGGGCTGGTTTGTTCAATATATTTAGTTCTGTCCATTGTGTGATGAGAGTTGCAGGTGAGATTGATGTATTGTTTTGAAAGTGGATCAAAGTAGCTTTTATTGTGGTGAGAGCATGATCATTTTCCCCCATTCCCAACTGTCATTTGTTTTGATACAGTTGCATTTTATTGCAGCTGAGCTATGACCCTGTAGAGCTTCAAGCTAGAATACCTACTCCACTGTACCATAAGCAGTGCACTAGCCTTGCTGGTGCTCTGCTTCCAGCACCATCAGACATCTCCGCATAGTGGGTGTTCTTTTTGTTTTCAAGAAGCAAAAAGGGGAAGGTCTCAGTGAGAGGGCAGCTGCAGATCTTCATTCTATCCTACTGGTATTACTCCTTTCTGGTCATTGTTCCCAGACATGGAAGACAGCAGTAACAGCCATGGAAAAAGAATTAACACTGTGGATGAACACAAGCTTTGAAAGTCACCTTTTTCACTTACAGCCATTTCGTTCACTTCAGTTGTGACATGGTTTTAGTGGCTGTTGTCTCAGGAACAGATGAATTTAGAAGTGAGTGCTTAATACCATTTGGAGGCCTGACATTCTGGTTTTCTTGGGGTATAATGCAGTCATTTCTTCAATTTTTAGCTGCTAAAATCTTAATGTGAAGGAAGACGATGGGAACATTTTAAGGTCCAGTGTCTTGATCTTTATTACACCTAGAAACAACAACTCAGTGCCCCATTTTGTAAACAGAAATCGACAGCTTCTGAAATGCCATTTCTGTTGTTACTCTGAAAATCTGGAGAACTGTCTGGCCTCAGGTGCTCACTCTGGCAATACTGTTTTGAACACAAGATTTACTAAAATCTCTGCAGTTTTCCATAAAAATGCAGATTCATTTCTGTATTATTACTTCTTTGCCAGGTCAGCTCACCAGAAATGGTCAGGGGAAAGACTAATCTTTATAGATTTGGTGACAGTGCCATTTTCATGCTAGAAGGTGAATTGATGAAAGGATGGCTTTCTTCTCTTCCCATGCTCCTCTAGCGATGACTGTAGTTTTGGAAATCCTGGTCTTGGGCCTTCCTGGCCAGAGAACGATTAGCCTGCAGGGGCATACAATCATGGAATCATAGCAGGGAGGGAGGTACCTTTTAAAGATCAGCTAGACTAACTCCCCTGCCCTGGGCACTGACATCTTCCACTAGATCAGGTTGCTCAAAGCCCTGTACAACCTGGCCTTGAACACTTCCAGTGATGGGGCATCTGTGACTTCGCTGGGCAACCTTTGCCAATGTCACTGCCTTCATATAAATTTTCCTTATTTCTAATCTAAATCTACCCTCTTTCAGTTTAAAACCATTTCCCCTGGTATAAAGCCTCTCTGTGTTTCTTGTAAGATCCCCTTTTAAGTACTGGAAGGCCACAATAAGGTCTCCTGGAGCCTTCCAGTACTCCAGGTGAGGTCACAAGAATGTAGTAGAGTGGAAGAATCACCTCCCTTGACCTGCTGGCCATGCTTCTTTTGAAGCAGCCCAGGATACAATTTGCTTTCTGGGCTGCAAGTGCATGATGCTAGCTCATATTTCATCTGCTACTATCCCCCAATCCGCATGGCTGCTTTCGATCCCTTCATCCCCCAGCCTGCATTCATACTGGGGCTTGCCCCAGCTTGAGTGCAGGATCTTGCACTTGGCCTTATTGAACCTTGTAAGGTTCACTTGGGCCCATTCCTCAAGCCTGTCAGGGTCCCTCTGCATGGCATCCCTTCCCTCTAGCCAATCAACTACACCACAGCTTGGTGTCATCGGCAAACTTGCTGAGGGTGCACTCAGTCCCACTGTCTGTCATTAATAAAGATTGAACATTATCAGTCTTAATACAGACCCTTGAGGGACACCACTTGTTACTCAAGTCCGTTTGGACACTGAGCCATTGACTGCAACTCTCTGGATGTGGTCATCCAGCTAATTCCTTTTCCATGGAACAGTCCATCCATCAAACCCATATCTCTGATTCAGAGACAAGGATTTTAATGTGAGACTGTGTCAAGGCCTAACAGAAGTCAAGGTAGGTACCTCTTCCCTTTATCCACCAACGCAGCCACTCGATCATAGAAGGCCTCCAGATAGTCAGGCCTTTTGTGAAGCTGTGCTGGCCGTCTCTAATCACCTCCCTACCATCTATACGCCTTGGCATAGGTTCCAGGAGGATCTTTTCCATGATCTTACTGGGCATGAAGATGATGTCAGTAGTACCCAGTGTCCTCCTTTTGATCCTTTCTAAAAGTGGGTGTGGTTTCCCTTTTTCCAGTCACTGGGGCCTTACTGCCATGACTTTTCAAATAGGGAGAGTGGCTTTGCAACTACATTTGCCAACTACATCTATTTGTATTTGGCTGGAGAGACTAAATTTTAACTATTTCTAATTTTTCTCATGTTTAATGTATGTTCCTAGGCAAATCACAGCACAGTTAACAAGAGATAGGCAGGAGGTTGCCATCTGAGGTCTCCATGGCCTTGAGAAGTCTACAGAGCAACATTACATGCTATTTTAAGTTAAACATTTTAACCCTGACATATGATGATACTAGTAACAAGAAATCTTGATGGTTTGTTAGTCTAAAAACTTTGGGAACTCTTATGCCATAAATTTTAAGGGGGTTTAGCCTGCTGTCTTTCCCATGAGATGTCCAGCAGACCCAGGAAACTTTTTACATGGAAATTTGAAAGTGCATCTGCAACAATGACTATGTCAGAAAGGTGCCAAACAAGTGATTGAAGAGCCTCTGAATACCGGTATATTGGAAATCATACTGAAAGCCAGAGTGTCACAATCTTCTCATTTCAGTGATGTCTGTCCCTTATCTCAGTCAATGTAGGTTGTTTTTGCCCTTGGGAATGAGTTGTGTTGTATTAAAAGTACAAGCCTTCCCCTCATGTATTTGAATCAGTTTTGTTTGCTCAATGCTGCTACTTTGGGGCATTTGTACACTATGTGTAAGAAGTTGCCATTTATGTATCTAGCTTATAAACAAGTAGTTGCAAGCTAAATCTTTTAAGAAAACTATTTTAATTGTAGAAACACCTGTTTATAAGAGCTGTCTAACATTTCTCTTGAATCCAAGTACCTGTAAAAATATCGAAGATTTTATGACCAGTGATTTTGTGAGTTTTACCAGGTGATATAAATTTCAGCATGAAAAAGAAGAGCAGGTCTTAATTCCCTTAAGTCAGGCCTGGGCAGCACTCATCGGTAGGCTCTAAAATTTTAGGTTTCATATCTCCTTATACAAATCTGAAGGAATTTTCAGTTACTGATAGTATCTATCCTCAGGCCATCTTTATTTTTCCCAGTAGAAATGTGTGTACAGCAGCACCAAAAGGACCAAATGAAAAAGTGAGTGGCTGATGCAGAATAGGGCTTTAATCCCTGTAGCTACACAACCCTAATGACCCATGACTCCTGCAACAGAGGGATGCAGGGGGTCAGGGGCTTAGAGGAGCCTCTTGTTTCAGAAAAGTAGTAATGGTTTGTGTCTGAACATGTCTCAACACCTGCAGACTGCTGGCACTGGAAAATAATGAGCCTGGTTATTATGGGGTCTCAAATGATAAATTTTCCAGTGATCAGTTTTTATTGCTGGCATAAAATTAAAATCCTTTTCGTACAGGATATGGGTGTCTGGGTCATGTCAAGGACAGGGATGGTTTTGTGGCCTTCAAATGAAGCATCACAGCAGTGACTTGATAAGAAGACAATGAGATGATGAGTGAATTCTGTAAAAATAAAAATAAAATTAAAAAGAGCCATCAGAAGGATCAAGCACCAGTGGTAAATTTGGCTGTGCTGTCAAAAATAGGATCTGGGCTACTGAAAAAAGTTTTGACCTAGTGGAATGGGAAGATGACTTCTCAAAAATCCCATTATTCCTTTAAAGTACATTGTAAAAATTCCAGGGGGTAGCTTCAGTGTGAATATCTTCAGACCACTCCATTTCCACTAAAATGGAAAATTAACAAAACTAGCATTTTTGATACTTAAAACTTTTGAGAAACTCCAACATGGATCACTTCAGCCAGCCACCAAGAATTCTTCAGGCCTTTATGCTGGCATATAATCCCTATATCTGGAACCTTAAGCACTCCAGCTTTGTTACTGTTACCAGGTCAGAGGTGGTCACCAGCAGCATGCCCCAGGCCCACCTCACCTTCCTCGCAGCCAGCATGGGGAGCAATGTGTGCTGAGTTTCTGAGAGGTACCAGCTCCTACTCTGATGTCTGGGTCCCTCCATAGCTCTCTGAACTGTGATTTTCTTTCTGACTTGTGACTCTGGGTACCTGCTGCCCATGGATCAGCAGTTGCGATGCTTTCCTGACCTTTTCCCTCAAGGGGGGCAATATCAGTTCACCTGTAACAT